AAATGTTTACTTATTTTTTTTTTGTTTTTATACGTTGCACATTATTGTAAAAAATGTACAATTAAAGCCCATAATAAGACGGAAGAAATAATTTTTTTATCATTAAGTTTCGTTTAAAGTTGTCCAAGATACAGTACTTTAAAGAAAGGTACGTATGACGTTTTGTTAAAATTTAAGTATCGTTTAAATAGGCGACCCTACGACATGTCGGCAAAATATGCTGCACGTATATTCGTATCACCTAGACCTTAAATCTCTTGAACTTTCATCCAAATCCTGAGAGGTCGCGCACAGAGATGGCCGCGGTGACATAACATGCCTCAGATATGATTAATTCCAAAAATTATTTTAAAAATGCAATGCAATATAGAATATAACAAGTAAGATCAGAGCTATGCCGAGGCTCCATACCATTCATGAACATCCGAAAATTTTATTTTAACAGATTAAATACTGGATTTCAAATTAGTGAATTGGCAGCTAAACAAAATTTTTTTATCCACAGCATACATAGACGTACATATATAAAAAATCATATCTAAAAAATCAGTGGTACCGAAGATATACCTTATGAAGCACCAATAAAATGATTTCCACTGTTGTGTGCGATCGGTATGTAAAGTGGTTACACAATTTAATGCACTTAGCTGCCTAAATAAAGGAGTTATATCGCACAATCTTGTAGTTGAACAATCAGTGGTATAGGAGAAAAAGCTTATACAGCACTGATACTGACGATTTTCTCAGTAGAGTTTGTGTGATTATTTAGAAAATAGGTCACGAAATTTATCGTTTTTAGCTGTCGAATTAAAGGAGTATTAAAGTAAAATCCCATATCTGAGCAATCAGTTGTATGGAGGCTATAGGTTATAGTGACCCGCTCTTTGTCATTTTCACTGTAGGTATTCTGTTTATAATGGGTGGAAACAGTGCAAAATTTCATTTTCCTAGCTGCATAAATAGAACAATCAGTTGTATGGGACCTATATGTTATAGTGGTCCGATTTTTCCGGTTCAAACTAGTATAAATTATAAAGATACACCCACTTACCAAAATTCATCCGGATATCTCGAAAACTGAGTGACTAGATTCCATACAAACAGGCGGACAGACGGACAAGCGGACATAGCAAAATCGACTCAGCTCGACGTTCTAATTAAATAAGTGTACATTTTAGTGGGTCTATCTCTTCTTATTACTTAAAAACATCGGACCATAGCTATTATACCATTTCATGCTCATGAAAGGTTTAAATATGGGTACCAAATGAAATAGGAAATTTCTTTAGAATTTAAAATAATTAATTATTTTTAGATTCACAAGAAAGAACAGGTCGAAATTCGAGGTCCTCAACATATAATTTTTTCAAAAACAAATATTGCAAATTTTAAGGATACAATTTTAAAAGGACATTTCCATTACTTACCAGTCCTTACGCAACAAAAAATTGAATCTGATTAAATTCTACAGAACTTGCTCTTTAATTTGATGCCCATACTCTTTCACATTTCACTGAATGTTTAAAATAATTTTTCAATAAATGACGTCAGAGTGAAAAACGAAAAACCCAATTTTACTATATTTGGCGGTTTCGTGAATATATTGATTTATGTATGTAAAATTTACAATCGCACGTTGTTATATGTATAATGAGCTAGATAGTTTTAAAAAAATATTAATTATTAAATAAAAAAAGAAGAAATATAGCCAATACTGGTCAAGAAAAGGAGTTTTTATTATTGCCATCAGTGCAAATCCCGAAAATCCTGCGATTTTCGACACCTAAAAAAGTCGGAATTCCGGGATCTCGGAACTAACATCCCTGTACATGTGTAATGGCGTTTTCTTTTCTACAAAAACTGTTGCATTTTTATTGCCCTCTCTTTAGTGTTTGTGCGAAGAGGGCACATTTTTCGGTTGAAAAAAAAACGTGATAAGTAACGCTATCGGTCTTGTTTGAGATTGGTCGGTTAGGTTTTTTATTTGGTTTTTTTTTGCATACATTAAGAAAAGCAGTTTTTATATAGTTCATTACATATGTGATATAGGTCGCGCAAAAAGTGGCGAATTCTCTTTACGTTGCCGTATTGATTAGCTGTCAGTTCAGATTTATGACCCCCGTCAGAGAGGATACTTTGCTTACTTTCCGTTCAAGGATGAAACTGACAGATGAGTAGACTGTGTGTGTTTCCATGGAGAGCGTCAGATTGGCAACCCTCGCGTCGACGGACCCGACGAACATTGATCAACAGTCAACTTTTGACGCACGTAAGTCCGTCACTGCTGACAATTGTATAACCTTGCGTTTTAGCTGCATTTAAAATGCAACATTTTCACTTTCGAACATATTTTTTTGAAGAGCGTTCATGCTATCGCATTTAGCAAATGTACATTTACGCGAGTTCGAAACCGTATGCTTTTGACAAACGGCCGTGTTCCTGTCGCTTATTCAGATCCGTATCTATCACGATCAATTCACACAGAGAAGATAATGTGCAAAAAACTCTACTGAAAAGGGAAAAAGAAATTTTAAACAAAAAGTTCAATACAACAACTTGAATTGTTTTAACCATACCCGAAAATTTGTTTGTGTATATTTTCATTTGTCGGTGCTGTCAATTGAAATATCCTCAATTAAATAGGAAAAAAACCCGCAGAGTTGATCACTAATTGAGCCGGATATCTATCAGTTTCATATCGATGTTAAATTCGTGCAAATTTTCTTTTTCCAAATAATTTAAAATAATAAATGAAATCTCGACCGGCGATCACTGAAACGCAGCTAGCAACTGCATACGCGAAAAAGCAATGTTGCCACATTTTCTCATTAAACCATGTTCGAATCGTGGAAATTTTGGAAGATCACAGGGTTGCTTCTAGCATTTAGATTCTTAATGCAAAAATGGAGATGCATTTAGTTGCATTTAGGTGACGAATTTTGTATGGATAAATGTACATTTAGAGTAGCATTTAGAGCTAAATGCGCTAAATGTGCTTTTATGCGTAAGCAAAAACAGCCCATAAGACAAATAAGAATATGTATTAATTGTCACATTGTTTGAGTAAAGTAGGCGTCCAGACAATAAACTGTCTTCGAAAAGCCAAAGACTGTGACGAAGACTTCAAGGGAAGTGTGTATATATTAGTAAAAAAGTGTAAATGTTTTACTATTGCATCTGCAAAATTGACTTGTGTAAACCCCAAGTACGCGACCATAGGAACAGCTGATCTTTGTTTGCAGACGCAATACCTTCATTGTGTCATATGTTACGTACGGCACTTCCTTCGCATACTTTTCCGTTACTGACGTAAAAGTACCCATTCTGACGGGCCTTTTAAACATTCCAAGCTTATTTGTGTTCTATGTGCAATTTCGCCGCTAGAATTAGCAGAAAAATCTATAGTATATTTTTCAATACCAGATAATACAGTTCCTTACTTAATTACAAATTACCACAGTTGTACATAAAAAGTATATAACAGAAAAGTAAAATGAATGTATTTACAATTTTCTCCATTAAATGTGTTTTTTTTTTTTAATTTCCTTCTTCCTGAAGCCTTAAAAATCCCCATCCACTAAAATATTCTAATTTCGTTTCGAGTGGAATCACCACTCCCTATTTTTTATGGATAAAATTTGAAAACTACATTAATACCATTTTGTTTAGATACATATATACTTACATACAAACGTTGATGGCCATCATCAAACTTTTCCCGAATTAAGTGGTATCATTAAAGTTCTTCTATTGCGTAATGAATATACTGATTCCTATTTCCATTGTGGAAATGAGGAAAGGGAGAGAAAATGCAAATCAACTGGCCGTAGACATGAAAAACACAAATATGCATAAAGCCAACAGTAAATAGCCAAAGTAAATACAAAATATTCCGAAAAATATTATTGTTAAGTACTTTTTTGTGCGTTTGTGGTATTCTAAAATGTTTTAGCTACTTTTTGTTGCTTTAGTTTTACTCAACTTTCCGCTTAACTATTTCGAGCGTTTGAAAGGGCAGTGAATACGCTCTTAATATCAAATATGCTTTACTAAATATGCTTTTTTTAGGGAAAAGTTGAAACAGTTTGGTAACTTGCAAAATACATGTTTTACATGCATATGTACTTACATAAGTTACATATATACAAACGAATATACATTAGGGCGAGTCAATTTGTATAGGATACTATGCGCCTTTAGCACAGACATATTCTACGTGTAATTCTTAGCAAATTTGCCGTAAAAACCAGGGCTAAAAGTCAATTTGGAGTTTCCGAAATTGTGAAAAGAGGTTTCTTAGCATTTTGCTGTTGTGTCCTAAAGAAGGGCTTAATTTTAGTATAAAAACATGCTATAAGGGGTTTTTTGTATGAGGAATCCATTTGTGTACTCATCCTGTTCTTAAAACTTCCAAACTTTATTTCGCAATTTGGCAAACTCCAAATTGATTTTAGACCCATGGTTTCTTCGGCGAATTTGCTTAGAACTACGTGTAGAATTCTCCTATGCTATACACGCTTAGTAACAATTTTTTCATGTTTGTATGCAGTAATTTGTATAAAGCCTCTATTATTAGGAGCAGTATATTTGGCCTTGGTGACTATGTACTATTATCTCTGTTAATTCCAGTGGGGCTTTTGGATGGTTAAATGGTCGACTCTAACGATTGCCGCACGCTTCGCTTCCGAGCAAAAAAGGCTACAACCCAGCAAACACAAGAAAAAATATTCTCCAACGTTTGAGAAACCCTTAATTTTCAAGTTGAGTTTCAACATTCCTTACCATTTGAGAATTATCCTTTTCTCAAACCCTATTCCTCAATTTGCCCTTAAGTTGAGGAATATTTGAGAAATGTTTAACAGCTTTCTGGCAGCGCTTATGTTTCCTTTGCAAAAGTGTTGATCTGGCAACAGCGGTGAAACATATGTTTTAATGTTCGTAGAAAAAGTGAAAACACTGAAATAAAAATTAACGCAACAAGAAAACAATAAAAGGTGAGTTGCGCAATAACTTAAAAAAAGTTAGTGCTTAGTTCAGTGGCAGAAACAATGCAAAGAAAGAAATTAAAAAGTGAAGTGAAGCAGATAGTAGATCTTCTTGCAGAGCGTGAAGTGGCCGCTCCTACACGTCAGGAGTGTCAGGGCCAAGAAGATACTTTCACTGCAAGCTCGTCCACTTCAAATATATCGGATGATGAATTGAGTGAGTCGAAAAGTGATGGTGTTACAGATTTCGAAAAATCTGTAGATTTGAGAATTGAATTAGCGGCATGGTCTGTGCAATTCAATATATCAACGGCGGCTACCAATAGTTTATTAACAATATTGTGCAAACACGTGGGTGATCTTCCACGGGATTCAAGGACTTTAAAATCCACTCCTAGGAGACCACCTGTTGAAAATATGGGACTAGGAGAATACATTCACTACGGTGTTGAGGACTCACTAACTGATTTTTTAATAAACAACTCCTATAGTTTGATGGAAATCCATCTTAACGTTAATATTGACGGCCTTCCACTTTCAAAAAGTTCCAATTTGCAGACTTGGCCAATATTAATAAATGTCAATGGAACGCCTAATGTTATGGTTGTAGGGGCTTATTCCGGCAATAGTAAACCATTATCTCCAAATGATTATTTGCAAAGGTTTGTAAACGAGTTGCTGGAGCTGTTAGAAAAGGGGTTGGATTACAATGGCAGTCATTATTCCATTCATTTTCGTTCATTTATTTGCGATGCGCCAGCAAGGTCCTATATTTTAGGAGTTAAAGGACACACTGGTTTCTCTAGTTGTATCAAATGCACGCAAAGAGGAGAATCCCTTGGGCATAGAATGATTTTTCGTAGTGAAATTCATAGCGCTAGAACAGATTTAAGTTTCCGATCCCGTTTGGACGTAAATCATCACAAACTTATCGAGTCAACAGCTATCGAAAAACTGCCCATCGATATTGTAAACTCTTTTCCTTATGATTACATGCATGTTGTATGCCTTGGTGTAACCAAATCTTTGCTTCTTGGATGGGTTAGGCAGAGAAATAAAACTTATTCTTTGAAATCCTCGACTATAAGTTTGTTGAATTCTCGATTATTGTTTCTAAGTAATCAGGTTCCAAAAGAATTTGCTCGTCATCCACGTGGCCTGAGCGATATTGAAAGGTTTAAGGCTACTGAGCTAAGGACATTTCTGTTATATACAGGAATTTTCGCTTTAGCTGAAGTCTTAGATGTAGAAAGATATACGCATTTCTTAATGCTAAGCTTGGGCATAAGAATATTATTGAATGAAAAGTCCTGTAAGGAAAACAATGCGTGCGCAAAAATACTCTTGAATGAATTTGTTAAAAAAGTTCCAAATTTTTATGATGATTCTTTTTTAACATTCAACTATCACTGCCTTACACACTTGCATAGTGATGCATTGAACCATGGATGCTTAGAGTCTGTAAGTGCGTTCAAATTCGAAAATTTTTTGTCGAAACTCAAACGAAAATGCAATAAAAAAGATCACATTGCTGCACAAATATATAACCGCTTGGTTGAGGAAAGTTTATATTCCTCTCAATATTCTGCAGCAAAAATTACAAATAAAAAAGCAGATGAAAATGGACCAGTGAAGTCAATAAATACAGAATTCTTTTACTTATCCCTTAAACGTCCAGATAATTTTTACAGCGTCCAAAATAAAATATTTATTCTCAAACGACTTTCAAAAAAAGACAGTGCTTTTGAAATTATTTCCAGAGAAGTTATAAACTTAACAGACTTTTTTACGATTCCTATAAAATCATCCCATTTTAATATTAAATGTTGCGCCACATTGCAGTTTTCTGATTGTCAATTTCAGCATTCAGTACATGAAATATCTCAGAAAATCATTGTCTTTAATAATTTCGAATGTAATAAATTTATATTTATACCTTTCATTCACATGTAGATGGATTTAAACAGCACATTTCTTAGTTCGTCAGCAATACTAGCAGAGGAGCTGATATCTAAAAAAGGTGAGTTTTATTTGTTATTTGATAAAGATATACATATCTAATAATATTATTTTTAATCTTTCAGATTTAGATGAGTTACACCAAAAAATTGATAAATTTCAAGAAAATGTTTTAAAAGGTAAAATTATTGTAGTGTTTACGTTGTTGGACTTTTCACTAAATAATAGGGCTATCACTAAATCCATCGTATTGCGATTTTCTCGATGCATTTCTGAACTAGATAGAAGTTGTTTCGATTTATTTGGCTGGAAGCGAAAATGCTTAAGTCAGATTCATAAGTTGTTTTTGCAAAAGTCCATAAACATGTATCCTTAAATCGTTAATATCAACCAATATGTACTTATGTATATCCCCAGTATTTTATATACATTTCTAATATTTACAGAACAAGAAATTACACAAAAGCTTCTGAAACGCGTTCTCGAAGAAGTCAAAGCTAATGGCAATTCCAAGAGTAGCACACGCAAGCCGATAATGCCGAAAACACCGTTTAAAGAAGAAAATGATTTTAAAGACTTTGAGGCCAAAATAGAAAAATCGGAAAACAAATTTAATGACTTGGTAAGTTTTGTAAATAAGCGTATAACCGCATACTATTTAAACATGAAAGTAATTACAACATGCATATGACTTTTCTAGGTTGCCGATTTTTTGAGCATAATTTGTGGCAATTCATCAAAATTTTTAAAAGAAGCATGGCGAAAAATTATGACCGACGAAGTAGCCCAAAAATTGTGCTGGCAAGGAACAAATAATAAAACGCCCGTTCGAGCTTTAAGTGTAACAACAGCACTAAAACGTTAGTATGTCTTATCATTCTTTAATTTTTACACATTTGTATGTATATACATATGTATATCATTTCAGAAGCGTACAATCAAAAATTTGCAACTGCAGCTTCCGACAGCGAGTTCGAAAGGACAGTCATATCATTTTTCCAGCATGCCAATAATCGTCTGCAGAAAAAGCATGCATACAAAGAGCGAAAGGAAAATAAAAAATAACTTAAATATGTATATGTATGCTCACAAAGGTGCATTAAGCTGGATCGATAATTGTATTTATTTTAATTTAATCTGTATAGATCCAAGAAGTAACTTTAGGATATCTGTGATACCACTGACAAGTTTCAGATAAATCCATTATGTCATATTAACCCAGAAAAAAAATGAATTTTGAAACGAATTTTGAAAATATGTGCATACGTACATACACACATATGAGTTATAATTAAATTTATATAACTATAGCTTAATGGATTTAACTGAAACTTGTCCGGTGTACCACATATATCTTAATGTTGCTTTTTGGAACAATACGGATTTATTTATTTAAATTATTTTCATCATTTACGAAAACCTTTTGTAGAAGGTGCATATTGGACCATACTATGATTTGAAATGCGATTTTCTTTTAATTTTGTAAGTCGTTGCTAAGCAAATGTACTTTAAATTCTCTTTTAAATTTTTTTAAATACGGTACGGTAAAAACAATACCACCTTAAGAATTAAATTAATCATAGAATTAAATTAATCATAAAAAGCTGGTACTTTGTATAATTTTTAATCTAAATAAGTAACCAAAAGTACAAAATAAAATAAAATGTATTAAAAGTATAAAATAAAAAAGAAGCTTTCATTTGATACCAATTGGAGAAATTGATTTGGGGTCAAGTGGAGAATTAACAATTTCTCAACTTGATAACTAAGAAAATCTTCATGTAAAAAAAGTGCCTTTTATGTTGAGAATACTATAATCCGCTCGTTGAGATGCTGTTGAGAATTAACGTTGGAGATTTGAGAAGGCTATTTAATATCAAATGCGTCTCAAGTTGATATCAAACCAAAAGGTTTGCTGGGAATGAAAACAAGTAAAGAAGTATAAGTTTTGGCGAAACCAAACTTTATATACCCGGTGCACGTGTAAATAGTGTTGTCTCGCCTTTCTGATTTTAAACATTTTCGATAATATGCTCAATCACACCATCATTGAAATAATTGAATCGAGTTTAGTACAAATCGATAAATCGCTTACAGATATAAACTTGTGTAATCATAAGTGGGCCTATTTTCCAAAAATCTATAATAATCGTATTTATTCGTAAGAGATTGATGTAAGTATTAACTTGGAGTAAACTAGCGTGCTTAGTTATTGAAATGTACCAGTTTTTTTATATCTGAAATTTACTGTTCAATGGGAAGTGGGCGTAATTTTTCTCCGATTTAAAAAATGTTCAACATATTATTTTTTTGTAGCAAGGTAAATAACTGTACAGAGTTTGGTAGATATAGATAAATACAAAGGTCACCGAGACACGCATATGTTACACATACATATGTTATTGATTTAGAGCCGTTTTCGTAGTTCTGTAAATTACTATTATAAGGGAGGTGGGCGTGGTTAATGACCGATTTCGAAAGTTAACACAGATTTTTTAGCTTCACTCTAGGCAATATTTGTTTGGTGAATCGGCTACTGAGTTATAGCAAGTTTTCATGAGCAGGACCGTTTCCCACGCCCGCTTTTCAAAAAATTAATAATTGCCTTGCTTTATGCTTTAAACATTTGGATCCAGTATTTACGGAAATATCGTAGTTTTTCATATTTCGAAAATACCTTTGATAAAGGCCAACATTTTGAGATATCTCTAAAGTAAATACTAAGGATTGCTACAGTAAGTAGTAAGGATTACACACGGATTAGATAAGGATTAGGGACATATTTAAGTCACTTAACAGTAGTAAGAGTTTTTATTTTTTCAATTTTAGATTGTATCGTTATTGCAGAGGATCATCGATATAGTAAAAATGATAACTACCTTTCACGTTTTAGAAAAGTGTATGTGCATTTCTAATCAAATATGGAAAATTGCAGGGATTTATTTTTTGTATTTTTAAACAAGTTTTAAAAAGTCTTAAGATTATACAACAGCATTTAGCTGTAACAGTCGAATAGATGAAGTGATTCGCGAATAAGGTAATTAAGTGATATTGTCACAGCACGCAAAAAGCCATTTTTTTATCGCTTGCAAATCAATATCGATTTTTAAAATTGTACCCCTACCCTTGGCTAAATAGAAAAGGTGAGTTATGATTGTGCAGGAAACCACATTTGTATAAATTTTACCGTTGTAAATGATCCTGCGGAAAGAGCGGTGAAAATAATTTTTACTGTGCATTGACTTATGATGAGGAGCAAGGTTTATATATGTTACCGGCCAAACCCGATCTTAGGACAAACTAGTTTTGCCTAGGCTAAACTAGATAAGGGGCCACAGTATTTTTGCGCGAACACCTTTCCGCGTAGGCGGCCTTCAGTCGCACTTCAAAAAAATGACCGTATCAGTCCAACTCCAGGTACGCAGTCCAAAATATTGTTGCGTCCAACTTGTTTCGACATTGGACGGATATATTGGATCTAGATAGAACTAGTTTAGCCTAGGAAAAACTAGTTTGTCCTAAGATCGGGTTTGGCCGGTAACATATGGGTGAAAATTTCTCAACTGGACCTCGGAATTCGGTCAAGTTCGAATTTTTGTGTGAAAATTTGTGTGTAGAGGTTTATATGTAGATGTAGATAATTTTTAAAATTTTTATAAGCAAATATATTTTTGAGCAATCTTTCTCAAAACTTATTTTCTTTGAAAGTATTTGACGAAAGTTGATGAGATTTATTTTGTAAGCGTAGTGATATTAGAGCTTTAAACAAAAATATTTTTATAATTTAGAAAAAAACTTTTTTTTTTAATTTAGACACTAGTCAGTTGCATTAAAGATGTGTTCTCAATGAGTGTTTCCATTTCGTTTATATTTTCGAAAACTGCATTTATTCAAGAAAATATTTCTTTAAAAAAAATTGTTAGATTTTTTCTGTTTATTACTTACAGCAACATTTGTCACAGCGCGCACGCATCGTGAACCATGAACGCTCACCGCCTATACGCGCAACATGTTCACTAGAAAGCGCGTACAGAAGCTACTAACAATTTGAGACTTTTAACATAACCTTATATAATAATGATGGCATTTGTGGTATTTTTAAGGCATTTTTGGGTTAAGTTTTGCATCGGAGGTATGTGGTAAAATAATCCCATTAATTCAATTTTTTTGAAGTTCACACACAACATTATTACCAGGGAACGGATTTTTAGGACCTAAACCCCTACAAAAAAAGGGAAAATAGGCCGGAAAAGCAGTGTTGCCAACTTTTGATTTTCAAAAAGAACCAAAAACTTGGAAAAAAGGCGTTTTACCAAACTAAAAGCACCAATTTTTTTTAACCAAAGGATGCTTTTTTCATAACAGTTTGTATTTAACAAAAGCAAAAAATTAACAATATTTACAAGAATACATACATAAATCAATACACAAAACGTTTTCGCTCATAACGATTGAATAGCCTCTACACATGCTATGATGACTCATGCTTACGACGTAATACCGAAGTACTATTAAAACTACTATATCCAGTGCACGGACTTTACCACTTTATTGGTAGATCTACAAACTTTTTAGCTATATTATATTTTCTACCATTTTTACCAACAAAGACTAAAATTCTGCCAATATTTTGCCGAAAGAAAGCAAACAGATTTAAATGAACATATACATACATATCTTTTGTCATCGAACACACACCTTAAATAAAATTTAAAAGTAAACTTTGACGGAGAACAATTGCTTGAGTCTCCCTCCTATTAAATTAATACAGGGCCCGAATCAGGCCATCCGAGATCGAACTAAATTTTATACGAAATTTATTTTTGAACCTTCGGGAAGGAGTATAAAAACAAAAATTACACGAAAAAATTGTACGCTCAATGCCAGTAATAATTACACATGATCAACATTTTTTTGATATGAAAAAAAAAACAGCAACACCCTCCACAACAAAAATTCTAAAAAATCAACGGTAATTTTTAACGACTTCAAACTTCCACTTTCTTACACTACAATTGAATGGGCTACAAAACTGCATACGCGAAAATTTTCTAAATATTCTAATTAAAAATTTTGAAATTTTGATGACAATTTTTTGATGTTTGATTAATTTTTTTTGCAATTTGTGCAAGCTTTTAAACTTTTATCATTGTGGTTTCTGTTATGCATTGAATTATATTTCAAATGAAAATTATTAAAAATAAATAAACATAATTTGCAAACAATATCATTTAAAATTTCGTTACTAATAAGTTGATCGCATCTGTATATCAGTTTGACATTAAGGTTCATGAAGGCGTAAATCCAGGTGCTCTGGTAACGCCATCTTTTATGAATTCGCCATGTTTTATCCTGTTTGAGTAATAACCATCTGATATTGTTTCTTCTAAAAAATCTACCAACTTCTACCATTTTTTGTATGTAAAATCTACCAATAATAATTTTTTCGAAGTCCATGCACTGACTGTATCTCGAGAGAAAAATCG